GGTCTCGATTAATTTGGCGTCGCGGATTATATACTTGACGCCGCTTTGTCTTCGCTCGCTATACACGTGCTTGTCGCGTGCCCGCGGCGCTCGCTCTCTATCGTTTCCTTTGTGTGACGCTGTGCTCGCGTTATCGCGTGTTCCTCGCTCGCTTTATTTACGTTTATTGTCAGCTGTTTACGCGTTTTGTCTGTTAGGCCTTACGGCGTTTATGTTGGCGCAACGCGTCGGTGCACGGCCGGACTGATGGTCGGTCGGGCCGGAGTAGTGACGATGCAGGTGTGCATCGTTATAATATATAAAATCTTTTTTATTCAGAGATGGAATATATCCAGACATATATATTTATATATATTTTTTAACATTAAAAGTATGTGCGTAGGATGAAAGTTATTTATACACGCATTTTACAAAAATTTAATATTTATCTGACATATACCCTATATATCTGACACTGCATCATATTTTTGCTTCATATAAAAAATTGTGAGTGCGTATGTAGAAAATTGAAGTTATTTTGCACGCAGGAGACATTAGTGAATATTACGAGGCCATCAGATTACGACTTGAAAAGCTACATACAAAAAATAGTGAAAAATACGATTTGATTGCACGCGTGCGGACGTGTATCTGGGACCCGATTCCTGACAGCGTGCGAGTGAGATGCGCATGCGAAGATCTATAATTCACGTTACATATACTATAGATTTCCGCATGCGTATTTCGCTCGCATATCGTCTGGAATCGAGCTCCTCATCAGTATACTAAAAAGGATATTGGAGGATTCACACCACGTCCGATGTCCGATGTATAACGTCCGATATCCAATAAGAGAACAGCTTTCTAATGGAGAATTGAATTCTCTATTAGAAAACTGTTCTCCTATTGGATATCGGATGTCGTACGTCGGACATCGGACGCAGTGTGAATCCTCCATATGCGCTTCGTGCATGATGAAAATCAGCGCTCTCTCTGGAGAAACGTTGGAACTACAATACCGCTCCTTCTTACCGTAATGATGAGGAGTCCCAAATACACGTCTGCATGCATGCAAGCAAATCGTATTTCTCACTATTTTTTTTATCTAGCCCTTCAAGTCATTATCTGATGGCTTCGTAATGTTCACTAATGTCCCCTGCGTGCAAAATGACTTTCATTTTCTACACACTCATTCGGTATTTTTTATATGAAACGGAAATATGGCGTATAAAAAATAAATATAAAATTTTTGTTTGTTTTTTATGCTATACTGGGCTGTTTTGCATACATTAGCATATCTATATTTACTCTGTAAAAGCATTTTCAATTCTATGCAGCCGTCTGGAAGAATAGTGAGAAATAGATAATGTCGGTATTCAGCATCCCCTTAAGGCCGCTAAATATTTTGGAGGAATCTCACAGCTCGCTACTGAAAGCTTCGAGAGTCCTTCAGAATATTCCCGAACGCGATATCAATAATAAACGCATTGTCTCTTTCTTTCTCTCTTTTATTTTTCGATCCTAAACAGTTTGTTGTTGGTATGAACCAGTGAATAAGATTTTTAAATCTTTTTCTGTCATTTCTGGGAAATTTAAAATGTCATATAATGTAATGTAACATTTTTGAAAGGTAGCTTTCGACGAAGCCAACCATTTTCTTCTACTTCAGCCAGCAGTGATTTATTATTTATCTCATGCTAATCATTTATCAAAAATTTTCAAACCAGCGGAAATACTGAGCCAAGTATTCAAGAAAAATAATTTCAGTAATTAAGAGTGACCATAATGAAAATTAAAAAAATAACCTCGACTCATATAAAAAGTACCCGATTTTAGAGAGACGAGGGGACTCACCCTAAGAAAGCACCCCATTTTGTGAGAGGCGAAGGGACACCTTAAAAAATCAACCCAATAGAGAGTTCAAAACTCCCTCGATATGAATTATGGAAACATATTTTTATGGGCTAATTGCTGACGATCCTTATTTAAATACTTTATATAAATATTGAGAGTGTGAATAAGTTCTCGCCGTTTCACCATCAAATGGCGGTATAAAAATTTTGTGTGTATAATTCAAGATGATGACGCATCTATATTGAAGTTCTATAACCTATGTTTAAAATCAGTGCGTGTCTTTCCATTAACCTATAAAGAACATTTTCTTTTTGTAGCGTAAAACATGTCAAATTTTGTGCCAAATAAACCGTTTTTGCGGGGAATTTTACTGCACTACTTTATTCAGAATAAATCTGCAACTGAAGCACACAGAATTCTTGTAGAAACCTATGGTGATCATGCTCTGTCGGAAAGAACATGCAGAGATTGGTTTAACCGATTTAAAAATGGTGATTTTGATGTTCAAGATAGAGAACGCAGTGGTGCACCAAAAAGTTTCAAGACGAAGAATTGGAAACATTACTTGTTGAAGATCCATGTCAGACGCAATCTGATGTTGCAAAATCATTAGGAGTTGATCGAACAACAGTTTCGAAACGTCTGACAACATTAGGAATGATACAAAAGGAAGGATCTTGGGTGCCATACGAACTGAAGCCGAGAGACGTCGAACGGCGTCTTGTCACGTGTGAACAGCTGCTTCAACGACAAAAAAGGAAAGGTTTCTTACATCGTATTGTGACTGGTGATGAAAAGTGGATATACTACAGTAATCCCAAGCGTAAAAAATCGTGGGTTAAGCCCGGCGAAGCAGTAGCATCAACGCCAAAGCGGAATATCCACGGTTCCAAGCTCATGCTCTGCATTTGGTGGGATCAGCTGGGGGTAGTGTATTACGAGCTGCTCCAACCCAACCAAACCATCACAGGAGATCTCTATCGACGACAATTGATGCGTTTGAGCCGAGCATTGAAAGAAAAACGGCCGCAATATGAGCAAAGACACGATAAGGTGATTTTGCTGCATGATAACGCTCGGCCGCATGTCGCGTTACCGGTCAAAACATACCTGGAAACGCTGAAATGGGAAGTCCTACCCCACCCGCCGTACTCTCCAGACATTGTGCCTTCTGATTACTATTTATTTCGATCGATGACTAACGGCCTGGCTGAGCAGGGGAGCGGTGCACTTGGACACGGTGCATTTGGACACAGCCAATCACAGCACCGTGTGATTAGAGACATTTGTAGGGTCCCTTGGAACAGCGACTTGTGATTGGACTGTCCAATTGCCCCGTGTCCAACTGATATACATCCGCTGAGCAGCACTTCACTTCGTATGAAGAAACGAAAAAATGGATCGATTCGTGGATAGCCGCAAAAGAAGTGTCGTTTTTTCGACGTGGAATTCAAATTCTGCCAGAAAGATGGGAAAAAGTAATCTCCAGCGATGGGCAATACTTAAATTGACTTGTTTTTTTATTATTTTTTTTAAATAAAGGATTTATTTTCACAAAAAACGGCGAGAACTTATTCACACTCCCAATAAAATGTCAATATATTGTTTTCTAACTGCTTTCACGAAATAGATTTTTAATTATTTCATTTCATTATCACGTATTGTTATAGCAATCGTAAATTCACTAAAGTTTAACTTTTTAGAAAAACGCATAAAATAAATGTTCAAGTAAAAATAAAATATAAATTTTCTGTAATTTTGTCGTAAAATAATTCAGGAATCCAGGATAAAAAAATAGACTAGTATTTTCGATGTACGCGGTTAGAGCAAGTGTGTTATGAAAACGTGGTGCCGCGCCGCTTGTATGATTTTCATCATTCTTCGCCATGAGCTATCACCAAGAAAAATTTGGAAAAACTATATATTGAAGCAAACATTTTAAAGTTTTTTTTGGAAAAGCAATTTAAAGTGTATCTCTGAAACATAACCTCAAAAAAATTATTTGAAACATTTTAAAATATTTTTTGTCAGAATTTTCTTTTCATTTTTTTCTTTAATAGTCTCATTGATGTTTATCAAATTACCATATATTTTTTCATCAAAATTGTTTGAGTCGTTTTCGAAAAAAATTACTTTTTTATTTTTCTTTCTCCCTCCATAACTCGTACAAAAATGCAATTTTAAGGTTGATATTTGTAGAATCGTTTAGTTATATATGCCAATTTATGGTACTAATCTAGATTAGATACATGCGGGGACAATTTTTACATACTTATCTCCTTAGGCCAGAGCTCGGAATTAGTTGCCCATTTCGATCGATTCTCGGGAGATTCGCCTTCCTCCCCTTGCCGCGAGCGGGCCACGCAAGTGATGGTCATGGCCAGTCGTGGCTTCAAGTTTAGAGCCGTGACCATCACTTACGTGGCCCACTCGCGGCAAGGGAAAGATAGAAGGCGTAGAATCGACCGAAATGGGCAACTAATTCCGAGCTCTGGCCTAGGAAGATAAGCATGTAAAAACTGCTCCCGCATGTATCAAATCTAGATTAGCACTATAGATTGGCACATATGTGATGCATATATGTAACTAAATGATTCTACAAGTATCAACCTTAAAATTGCATTTTTGTAGGAGGGGGAAAGAAAAATAGAAAGTAGTTTTTCTCGAAAATAATTTAACCAATTCTGATAAAAAAAGCTCCTGAGAATCGGCCAAAATGGGCAACTAATTCCGAGCTCTGCCCTAAGTTCTTTTGAATCTCTACAATGGATATCTATTGGACGTCCATTGGAGGTTTTTGTTCCGTGTGGGAGGTTTATTAATAGTAATAAGTATAACAAGAACGGGAGCGGTGCACTTGGACACGGTGCATTTGGACACAGCCAATCACAGCACCGTATGATTAGAGACATTTGTAGGGTCCCTTGGAACAGCGACTTGTGATTGGACTGTGTCCAATTGCCCCGTGTCCAACTGATATACACCCAAAAGAACTTATCGTCTGGTCTATCTACTATATTTTATTAATAACTATCAAATTATGTGCGCTTAAGCAAGTTTTTAATAAAATTGAGAAAATGGTTATGATGAACTTTCAGAACACAGGAGGGAAAAAATCGTATGTATTCGAGAATCCGCAAGAACATGAAAAGAGATTTCTTGGCATGGGATTCCAGGGCATGCGTGGTAAGAAAGAGAATTTTCCAGTAGAGTGGGAGAAGAGGATTCCCATAGGATTTCAAGGGATTAGAGACAAAGAAACCTTGCTTGATGAAATAGAGGATTTCGAGAAGCGAGTTACAAGTTTTCAGGTAATTTCAACAGATCTTCAAATAAAGAATTACAAAAAAGAATATTGTATTTTATAAGCAATATATTATATTTCATGAAATATTTTCCGTATTATATTGTTTATCTATCTATAGGGGAAAGCGGGGCACAGAGGACCGCTTAACATTCTAAAAAATTTATTAGTTATAAGAAATGGCCTAAAGCTCAGCATATACTTACAAGGGTTATGCGTACGCAGACAAAGCGTTAGTTTAATAACTGTAAGAGATTTTACTTTAGATATTAAAATTATTGGCAAGAAAAATGGCCTTCTCTATCCCAAGCACGGGACACAGAGGACCATATATGATTTTCTATTAGGTGTACAACTTTGCTTCCGCCGTTTTTTTCCAAAATTCGAGGCTTTATTGTAAAAAACTAGTTATACATTTATGATTCAAAGTATTGTCCATCGCTGGCCATTACTTTCTCCCATCTTTCGGGCAGCGTACGAATCCCGCGTCGAAAAAACTGGTCATCTTTTGAGGCGATCCACGAATTGATCCAATTTTTTACTTCTTCATAAGACCGGAAGTGTTGATCAGCCAGGCCGTGTGCCATTGATCGAAACAAGTGATAGTCAGAGGGAGCAACGTCTGGAGAATACGATGGGTGGTGTAGGACTTCCCATTTCAACGTTTCCAAGTATGTCTTGACCATTTTCGCAACATGGGGTCGAGCATTGTCATGCTGCAAAATCACTTTATCGTGTCTCTCGTTGTATTGTGGCCGTTTGTCTTTCAATACTCGGCTCAAACGCATCAATTGCGTTCAATACCGATCGCCTGTAATTGTTTCAATCGGTTTTAACAGCTCATAACTACGCCGAACTGGTCCCACCAAATGCAGAGCATGACCTTGGAGCCGTGAATATTCAGTTTGGCCGCCGACGTGAAAGCATGGCCGGGAACTCCCCATGATTTTCTGCGCTTGGGCTTATCGTAATGAAGCCATTTTTTGTCCCCAGTCACAATGCAATGCAGAAATCTCTTCCGTCTTTGCCTTTTAAGCAGCTGTTCACAAGCAAACAAACGCCGTTCAATATCTCTCGGGTTCAATTCGTACGGCACCCAATTTCCTTGCTTCTGAATCATTCCTATGACTTTGAGGCGTTTCGAAATGGCTTGTTCAGTCACTCTCAATGATCGTGCCAATTCTTCTTGATTTTGACACAAGTGTTGATCAAGTAATGCTTCCAATTCTGCATCTTCGAAAATCTTCTCTCTTCCACCACTATGCCAGTTTTCGACGTTAAAATCATCGTTCTTGAAGCGTTGAAACGACTCACGACATGGTCTTTCACTAATAGCAGTCTCACCATAAGTATTTGAGAGCATTCGATAAGCCTCAGCCGCAGATTTCTTCATATTGAAGTAAAAAATTAAAACTTCCCGCAAATGACGAGAATTTGGCTCGTAAACTGACATTTTCAATCGAGAATACTAACTATATAACTTTATGATGCAGACACAAATCGACTAATGCTTCTATGGGGTTGTGTTGACAGATGCCCAAGTTTATTGTATGACGTCTATGATCTATTTATTTCGACTTACTGCTAAAGCCATCTATAAGAAAACGGCGGAAGCAAAATTGTACACCTAATATATATGTATGATAATATTTCATATCATACAAATAAGTAGAAACAGATTAATAAAAATAAGTTTATTATTTCCAGATAACACATATATGTATGTGTGTGTGTGTGTGTGTGTGTGTGTGTGTGTGTGTGTGTGTGTGTGAAAGTAACATATGAAGTAAAAAAACAATATTTTATTGGCATTTCTTCCTTCATTTTTAATTAATAGATACATAATAAGAACAACATATTTATTATATAATAACAAAAAAATATTTATTTATTATAATTAATATATATATATATATATATATATATAT